CCCTCGTATCCTCATGCCCTATATCCGACCTTGCGCGGGCCCAGCCAAACAGATGAGATGCAAGAGAAGGCCTGGATCGCATATCGACGAATGAGAGACCTCCTCGGCGAATCCATGGGATTGGGAGGGACTACGACCAAAGTGATTGCCTTTTTTCCTGACGACGAACCCAGACCCGAACGTGCCCCTGTTCCGCGTTTGTCGACATGATGACCTCAGCCACCGTTTGATCTCCGCGGCGTCACGCAGCTGCCGTCCAGCATTGGGCAACAAAGTTCTTCTTTCGGCAAAGTGGCTCAAGCGGCTGATCGGTGCGGGCGACTTGGATGGTGCCCACAGCGTCTTCCAATTCATGTGTTCCCCGAGGGCATCCAGCCTGCGAGCATACAGATCAACGGCCTGATTGGCGCATGGCAGAGAAAGCGGCGGCGCAGACGATCTGCAAAAGGCCGACAAGCTCGCATGGGACATGGTCAGGGCGCGCATCCGCTTTGTCGCCCGCCGCAGGCGGCTCGCGGGGCTGGAGGGCGGCGCGTACACGCAGGACGCCAAGACGAGCAGCATTTACGAGGCCGACCCAATGCCCAAGGCGACCCTGGAGACGTTTTCGCTGCTGGCGGAGAACTACCGGGTGCGGAGGCTGCAGAAGCCCATGGAGGACTCTGGGTTGCCTTCAGGGAGGCCGAGATCAGCCCCGACGCGTTCATGCTGAACCAGCTCATGGAATCACACTCGCAGTTCGGGGACATTGATGAGGCACAGGAACTGTACCGGTCGCTCGTGCACCAGCGCGGCGTCAAACCGGATTCGTACACTTTTATGGCCTTGTGGAAGATGATTGGCGTCAACAGACTGCAGATTCTCTCCGAGGACCGCGCGGCCGGGGAGATTCGACTCACGAGAGAGACGTTTGCCGAGACGGTCCGTTTCGCGCACGTCTTCAAGGGCCAGAGCCTCGACGGGCAGCTGGCGCGCAAGATGCTCCACACGTTCCGCCGGCTGAAGGACAACCTGGGCCTCGTTGTGGCGATGCGTGCGCTCCGGGCCGTGTTCGGCTATGTCCCGCCCGAGGTTCTGGGCCTCGAGATGGTCGTCGGCACGACCAACCTTGCGTGGGACACTGCGACGGCACGGCAGAAGCTGCGACTCGCGAAACGCAAGATCGACAAGTGGGTCGAGGACAGGCAGAAGCAGCTCGGCAGACCGGTGCGGACGCTGGACGACATGACGCCCGAAGAGCGGGGGCTGGAGATGATGGAGTACCTAGAGAGCGAGTATCTGCCTGCGGCACGAAATATCGAGGACGATCTTGCCGATGTCGCTCGTGAGATGGGCGTGTACGATATTGTAAAAGACCACTAGGCTGAAGGGCAGAGCCCCGGCCGTCCTGTACCATCTCCAAAGATATACCATACTCAGCATAGAGAAGAGAGGAAGGCGTCGCGCAAGCACGTCATGTATTAATACGACAAGTCGAAGAGAAAAACCGCCTCGGAATTTGCTGTCTAATCGTGGTCTTCTTCCGTCAGCCCAGGACAACCGTCCATGGTCTCATCGGGGTATCTAAATTTGCACCAGAAGCAGTAGTTGAACTCGTCCCTCATGTAGGCCACCAGCCGCTTCAGCCTTTCCGGGGGCTCGAGAATCGTGAACTCGTCCAATTCTGGGTCCTCCTCGTCGAGGTCGTCGGCCACTTCGTAGACCGTCGTCTTGCCCTTGCCCAGCGCCCTCTTGTCGTCCTCGTCCTCGTCTTCGTCCTCATACGTCGGCAGTCGTGACAAGCTCTGTTCCAGATCATGCCGCATCCTGCGGTCCCTCTCCTTCTCCTCCCGCTGTCGCGCGAGCCCGCGCCACAAGACGTTGACAGCCTTCAACGGCCTCGCCTTGATCCTGCGGGCGCCTGCCCTTCCTGCGTCACCTCAGCCTCGGGTCCTCCTCGGGCCATTGCCCTCGAGGATCCTTCTTGGGCGCTCGCCACCCATCCCTCTTCCACCCCTCCTCGGGCCTCCCTCTTCCCTCGCAAATGCAATCACCGATACCTCCCCCCGCCTCTTCGACCCCTGAACCCTCTTTCTTTCTTCTTCGGCTTCTTCCCCCGGCCGCCGCCTCCTTCGGCTTCGGGGTCAAGGCGGCTTCTTTCTCGCTTCTTCCATGCCGATGCCCCCCGCGGTCCTTCTTTGACAAGCAATGGCAATGG